TGAAGAAATTGAGGACACCTGCCAACTTTTACAGTTTGATCAAATATTCAGACACGATACACTAATAATAACTGGTAAGGAGAATGCAAAAGTCAGAAGCAAAGAAGAATGATTAGTAGTTAGAAAACTGTGACAGACATGGGGCTGGAAATCAAGCAGTAGAAGTTTGTATCTTGGGAATTAGCAGGTCACCGATTATAATTGCTGACTAATGACTCAGATAATGTGGGGGAGTTTTGGTTTTTGATTCCAACATACATTGAATCACAACAACTGTGAAATCTCATCTGACTTTGAGACTTTAAAATTTCCACTTATGCAAACGTACAACCTAGAGTTCCACAAACTCAGCATCACCTTGCAGGTGCAACAGGTGAGCTTTAACATTGCCAAGGCTTTCAAATATGTGTCAGAACACATTATACTCCTGCAACAGATGTAGGAGTTCAAGAAGAAAAATCAATGAAATGTTAATTAAAAAACCAACAAAAAAAAACCCACAGTGAAATTTAAAAAAAAAAAATCGATGAATCTCCTTTCTTGCTTCTAATGTGCCCACAGAGCTTTTCACGAGGAACCTGATACTAGTCACCAAAAAAATACAACATTCATTATTACTGTTTGAGGTGCCGACTGCAATTCATAGCCATGCTGTGAGCAGCAGATCTAAGCCTTACCTGGTTCATCGTCCTCAAAATCCGATCGGCCCCTGCCCACTGTTAATAGTCACTCTGTCGGCCCATCTTGTTGAGGGTCTTCCTCTGCTTTTCTAACTCTCCAGCTTCCCGAGGAAGATGTCTCTTCCCAAGGACTGGCGTGTCGTGTGTCCCGTCCCCGGCAACATGCCCTAATATTGTGAGACAAAGTTGCTCCATTTTTGCCTCAAAGGAGCACCCAGGCTGCGCTTTCTCCAAGACAGATTCATTTGTTCGTTTGTCATTCCGTGGAATACTCAGTACTCTTCTCCAACAGTGCAGCGCCACGGCATCCTTCTTCTCAGTCCCACTGTGAGATGCATCAGAAGTAACTGAAAAAAGTGTGGCTTGGATCGAGCACACCTGTCTGTAAACTGAGAGACACATGAGGATGAAGTCTTTGCCCCAAGACCGTGGCACATTTGTTAGCAAGATCCCAGGGATCTTTATCAGTTATATTTGTGATACTCCTTCTGGAATGGCCTTTAGTTGGTGAATTTGCGCCTAGGAAAGTTCAGACTAAAACTTTAGTTCTCATTGAATCAGCTGATATTTTATTTTAGAACAGTTATTTTTTTCTTACTGGGAATTGGTGAGTTAAGTGACACGTAGTAATATTTTTTGTGTGCCATTTGGTCTGCGATGCTAGTTTATATAATGACTTAAGACTCAAAGTAAAAAGGAAAGGACATGTAAGAGAGGACTGTCTGTATTTTCACACCCACTGTCAGATTTCCTCATTAAAATACTCTTTTCCAAATAATCTCACCATTTTGAGTTTCACCAGAATAAGAAATCACTTTAATAAGAATAAGGAATAAGGAATCACTTTCTTGATAGCTATAAAGAAGATATTTCCAAGAAAAACATCTAGATCAAGTATTTGAATGTAAAACAACTTTCTTTCATACCTAAAATTATAGGACACTTTATTTTCTTGGATCATTTTCTTACGCATTCACTCATTTTGATGAAGTTTGAACTGACTGGCTGCTTATTGGCTTGCTTTGTCAAAGCTGACTCTCTGTGTGGGTTTTGAGGGTATAAATGACGCAGGAGGGGATTGCCCACCGTCATCCCTCACAGACACCAGGGGAGTCGAACCACCAGAGAGGATCCACCTTTGCCTAAGTGACGCAGTTCCCTACACACTGAGCCACACCAGAGCTCCCTTTTTTCTTACAGTAAAGTAATTAATTTCTTCATCAAACCAATTGTCCCTACTTTGGCTCAAACCTTTTTTTTTCTTAAAAAAAAAAAAAAGAAAACTTGAAAGCCTCTATTTTTCTCATAAAGTCTACAGTTAAATCTGACGCTGGAGAAGGGTAGATGTTTTCTGCTTTGTGAGGGGCTTTGCAGGATTATTTCTGTTGTGTGATTGTTTCTCCAATCTTCTCTTAGGATATTTTGCTCGAGTCCATGGTGTTGGCCAGCTGATAAAGGCATTTCTACGGAAGACAGAATGTCACTGTCAAATTTTAAATCTGGGGGCCGGGATGGACACCACCTTCTGGAATTTAAAGGTTAGTGTGACTTCCCTTCTCCTGCCAAGTGTTAGTTTACGTTTAACTTGCGGAGAGGTTCACATAGCTCTAAACATCTAAGAACATAGTGAAAAGTTTGCAGTGACCACCCTGTCTGCCACATGTCGCCCTCCAAAACCACCATCAACATCAGACTGTATTTCACCAGGGACGAGTTATGGACATTTAGACTATTTCCACTCTTTTGCTGTTACAGACAGGGTTACAATAATTATTGATGTCTGTCATTTTCTTTGCATGTGTAGAAACATCAGGAAGGAAAATTCCACCAATGGAATTGCTTAGGCAAAGAATTAAATGCCTTTGAGATTTTGACAAGAATTAAGATTTTTTTTTCTTTCTGTCAAAATAATGCATTGTGTGTTAAGGATCGGCGTGAATACAACTCTGAAATGTGTGGATCTTGAGTCTCATATTCTGACTTCTCTATCTTTGTTGCCAGTCATCCCTACCCCTTCCTCTTCCTCTCTCCCCCTCGCTCCTCTTTCTTTCTCTCTCCCATTCTTTTATGTTTTTCTCTTTCTACCTGTCTATCTCTTTCGTCAGCACCCACAAAATAAAGAGACACCATCTTTCTGACTCACAAGTAGGCAGATATTGGCTGTAAATTAGGGGAGTCCATATGACACCCCAACCTTCTGGCCACGTATTTGGGAGTGATTGTCCACTGCCTCTTTAGCTGCAAACTCAAAAGCCCACACAATACCTTTGCTTTTTGACCTGTTGATTGCCATTACCCTTTTGGGTTTGAGTATTTGCTAGATGATAGAATGACTCAACAGAATTCATGAAGCATTTATCATATCTCTAGATGCTGATTTATTAGAGCCAGAAGATACAGTGGGTCGCGTGAAATAAAGTCTTGACTGGCTCTCAGTGAAGAGATTGCATGTCCCAAAGGAGATGCTACTCTCCAAAGAGCAGATGTTTTCATCAACCAGGAAGTTTTCTGAGCCCTGGTGTTCTGAGCTTTTATTGGTTGTTGTTGTTGATTGCCGTCGAGTCAAGTACAACTCATAGCGACTCAATGAACAAAAGACCTAATGTGTTTCCATAACTATCATCGTTTCTCCGAGCTCATAGAGTTTCCAGAGGCATGTGGTTTAAGAAGTGGATGCCACTCCAGCTTTCAAACCTTTTTTACCACTGGGAGCTCTACCAAACTCTGTCAACAATGGGAAATCATTATGATATTTGATACCCTTATGGCACAAGGTAAAGCCATACGCACAAGCAGGCCTCCACCCTTGGCCACCCACTCTTTGGGGGAAAAAGAACAGTAACACACAGCAAACATGACCCCAGAAACTTTCCTAACATGACCGCCATCAAGACAAGACCACCATCAAGATGCCAGCTAGCAGCCAATTCCTAGAGTGGTTCGTCCTGCATAATAGGCTAAATGATGCCTTCTGAGGTTAGTTCATTTCAATGGGTCTTTTCTTAATTTGCCCAACTCTTAGTAACAATTGTTAACAAATAGCACAAATCCTTGGGTGAGGCCTGGAAGTCCCAAACCACAGCATCCCGATTACTCCACGGATTCCCTCACCAGAGCCAAGGACAAAGACCCCACCATTAATGGCAGAATTAGATCCTTCATCCCACAGGCATCTTGGGTGAAACTGAGAAATTTGCAAGGCTGGGTCATGAGGATAAAATATAAAGCCTTTGAAGCCGTTCTCTGATTAGACCTGATAGTGGCTCTGTTAGACTATGAAAACAGGTATGAATACACTTACTCCTGGGCAAGGGAATGTTGGCTTTGTTAAAGGCAGAAGTAAGACTCAATCCTGTCACTCTTCATCTATTTGTTCTACTGCCAAAGCTCTGTTCTACAAAGGTTTCAGTAATTAATGTTTTCTTTCTGTAAGTCTGTACACATTTTTGGTTTATTCTTTAATCATGTTGGTCATGTGGCAGAAAAGGGAAATCCATCTCTCTAGATTTCTTCCAAGTGTAGACCAAGATAATTTAGAGTACCTGAGTGTATGCCAACCTGCCTACCTATTTTTTCCTTTATCAGCTTTCTTGATATGAATGTTACTGGTTCTCAAAACTCTCAACCTTTTTCATATTTAAATGAGATATCCGTGTGGCCTTTGTGTACGTGGGTTGACACTTATTTCTTCAGTCTGGAAAAGATGTCTGACGTTTTAGTTTGTATCTGTGGCCTCTTCAGTAACTGAAAACTCTTGAGTTTGGGGAATTGGTTATATACAGTTCCTGAAAGTGGGCCTGCAAGAAGGTGTTGTATCTTCCCTCAGATTTCACAGCCAGAGACACTGGAGTATGAATAGACATTGGAATCCAGATCCTCAAATGCTTCATTTCTTTTTCTTCCCTGTCCTGTCTCCTCCCTAGTTGCTCAGGAAGATATGTTATGTGCCATCGAGTTATTTGTGACTCATAGCGACCCTATGTACAAGAGCCCTAAAAGCCGCTCTATCCTGTGCCAACCTCACCCTCTCAAACGCACTCATTCCCACCACTCCACTCACAGAATTGATCCATCTCATCGAAAGTCTTCCTCTCCTGTGCTGCCCCCCACTCTGCCAAACATGACGTCCCTCTCCAAGGACCAGTCCCTCCTTGCAACATGCCCAAAGTATGTGAGACGAAGCTTCAGAATCCTTGACTCCAAGGAGCATTCTGGCTTCACCCTCTCTAGGACAAACCTGTTTGTTCTCCTAGCAGTCCATGGTATATTCAACACTCCCTTTTCTGTAGATTTGATGTGATTTGGTAATATGCATTCCATGATGGGGAATAGGAAATGGAGCAGAATCTACTGTAAGAGAGACATGTAATGTTCAGTTGAAAAAAAAAAAAAAGAACAAGAGGTGGGTTCTTTATAGTCTGGACTGGAAGTGATAGAGTTGAAAAGTAGTGGATGGACTAGAGAGTAATCAGTAGGACTAATGAACCAGAGAATTGGTGGAAGATGGAGAGAAAAATAGATATGGTAGAGGAATGACTTGTTATGTACCATTGAGTCAAACGGACTCATAGTTAACCCTCCAGTGAGTCTTCAGAGGCAGTAAATCACATGAGAGGAGATTGCCTATCTTTCTCCCACAGAGCAGCTGGTGGACTTGAACCTTTGAGTTGGCAGTGCAACTCCTCAGCAGTAAGCCACCAGAATTCCCTAGAGGAATAACTGAGTGTAGGAATAGAGATGTGCCAGAGAGGCAGGAAGGGAAGCAGAGGTATCTAGGAGGGTGTAGAGCTTTCCACTCTTATGACTGCAGCCCACAGTAAGAGATGAACGTTACGTACTTATCCAGAACCCGTGTGAGTAAATGGACATAAACCAGTGTTAAAGGTACATACTTACTTAATAAGGTTGGCCTCCCTTTCATTCAATGTTATTATCATTATCTTTACTTTTCAGTTGGGAAAACTTCTTGGCATAGAGGCTTTCCCGAGGCTTCACTGCAAATACATATTGAAGCAGAAATTTGAACCGTGTCCCACTAGCTCTGAAGGTCTTTTTTCTTACTACTCCACCATGCTTCCACTCTAACAGTTTGTTTGGTTTGGATTTTCTGGCTGGACATCTCTAATGGCCTCCTGGCTTTCCCCCCAAGAATCTTGAGTAACTGAAATGGGTCAGTGCTTGGCTAACATCTGAAAGGTTGATAGTTTGATTGGACCCAGGGGTGTCTTAGAAGAAGAATGGCCTAGCAGTCTACTTGTGAAAGATCATCGTGATATCTCTACAGTGTGGATTTCTCCTCTGGCACGTGAATCAGAGTCACCATGAATCAGAATTGGCTCAACAGCAATTGGGAGCCTTTTTCCTACACCCTTTCTTACTTGCCAGAAACTCATTCTGTTGACAATGGAAAAGAAATTTCTAGCCCTACCATTGGCCTGATTTAAAAATCCTTTAAATACCCCATGACTTAGGTGCTGTAGTGCTTGACACATGGAAGAGGAATGGTAAAAATGTATGAATTAATAGATAAGTGTAAAAACTATTATGTGTTTTTCTCTAGGATGAGAATCTTCTCCCAAGTAAATATTTTGAAGTTGACTTTCCAATGATAGTCACAAGAAAGATACACAACATCAAGTAAGTATGGGTTTGGCTAAAACAAGAAGAGCTAAATAGAATTCAGCAGCTGTGCTCTCTCTTGATGTCAGGCTTGAATACTAGGGACTTCATTGTAGGGTACTGCTTTCCTGTGACCCCCTTCACTCTTTCTTTTCTGCCTTAGTATTGTATGTCTTGCAGACTTTGAAACAAACTCTGCTTTCCCTAGTAACTCTTTCATCCACTAGTGTAATCTCACTTAATGTTTAAAAATGGCTTATGTAATAGTTTATTGTTGTTGTTGTTGGGTGTGACTCTTAGTGACCCTATGAACAATGGATGTGCACCCAGACCGAGGCTGTGCCATCCTTATCATTTCTGACCCACTTGAACCCAGTGCTGTGGTCACTCTGTCAGTCTGTCTGGTTGAAGTTCTTCCTTTCTTTCACTGACCTCCACCTTTCAAGCTTGATGTCCCTTTCCGAGGGATAGCCTCTGCTGGCAGCATGCCCAAAGTATGTGAAATGAAGTTTCACTATCTTTGCCTCCGAGGAGCACTCTGGCTGCACCCTCTTCAAGCTATTTGTTCTTTTGACAATCCATGTGATATTGAGCCCTCTTCTCCAACACCACAGCTCAGAGGCGTCAGTTCTTCTTCAGGCATCCTCAGTCACTGTCCAGCCCTCACAGATGCATAGCAAGTGACTGAAAAGCTATAATAGTTTGGTAACCTGGAATTTTTAGGTGTATTTTGGTTACTGTTTTGTCTCCATAGCACAGAATGATATTTGGCACAGAATTTTAAAAAACCAAGTCTTCTGTCTTTGAGCCTTTATGTTTCACATTTGGTAAACTCTTTGCTAATCTGTGTTTCTCAGTCTTCAAATTCAGTGAATCATTTGACATCAAAAGCAAATGTTTAATTATATTCAATTGACCTGACCTAAAAGTCGTTTGTATCTGGTGAATTTTTGCTGTATTATGTCTGTCGTCACACTCAATTAAACCTTAATCCTTTGAAAGTAGCCCTTGCTTTATAACAGTAGCAATATATATTCGCCATTTCTGTAGAGATTGAATACATTTTCGCAATAAATCAACTGCTTAAACCATTTTTCTCCTTTTCCTTATCTTTCCATAGATCCAAGCCTCCCTTATCACAACCCATTGTAGAATTGCATTCAGAAGACACGCTTCAAATAGGCAAGTATCTTCAGCCTGAGTAGTATAATACAGAGTATATGACTATTTTGGTTTTCCCTTCCCGTTTTCTTTTAAAAATGGTGTGAAGGCATAGATGCATGATGTTACATTGAGTGCTGACTCATACATACTTGTATCCTGACTACGAAGTAGCCAAGGAATTTTAAGACCGTTGTTGTATGGTCTTCCTTAGACATCCATAGGCTCCCAGTAGACCTCCAAGGGCGGGGGGGAACAAAAAAAACCCCAACAAAAAACCCAAAATAAACAACTCAAATCCCTGGTGGTTTAGTGGTTAAAGCATTTGATGCCATCAAATTGATTCTGACCCATAATTGCTAGAAACATGGCTCAGTGTCACGGCAGAACCAAAGATCTCGGGAAGGATTTCACTTCTACAGAAAGATGCCTGGGCAGACCTGAGTCTCACCAACAGCACACTGGCGGGTGGTTTGCTCAGGTTTCATCCCTGATGTGAATTCTCTTAGCTTTAGCTCATCTTATTGGTCAAGGCTTTTGACCTCACAGTCTTGTTCCCACTCAATTTACTGATTTCACCTGTGCTTAAAAGGAGGGAGCTAGGGCTTGAGGAAGTTCAGTCTATCTTTGTTTCAGAGGATTATAGCACACCAGGAATTGGTCTTGGCTGGTTCGCAACTGGAGTACAAGGACAAGGGAGTGTCTCTTAGTAATTTTCAGAAAAGGGTTCTTGTTTCAGCTTTTACTCCATCCTGTAACTTTTGAAGAGCTCTTATATATATATTTTTTCCTTACATAATGACCCTCCATTTGATTTTCAAGGTTGTAAATCTTTAAAGGAGAATGCCCATCTTTTTCTTCCACAGAGTGGACTGGTGGATTCAAGCTGCCGATCGTTCGTCTAGCGTAATGCAGCCCAGTGTGTCACACACTGCACAACCTGAACCCCCCTTGAGAAACAGTAGACCCTGATTCCTGCATGGCGACTGTTAGATAGCAGCTACCTCATTTAGAAGCATCAACATTTTACAATTGGCTGTCCCCCACGTCTCTCTATCTTATACTGGACCACCTTCATTTGTTTGCTTTCTGACCTTTTCAAGCAATTTTTCTTGTCAACATTTAATTATAAAAAAAAAAATTTAAGCATACTTAAAATTTAAGGAATTAAAAAGCAAACACACATCTAATCATCACAGATATTTCCTAAATTGACTTTTATTACACATGGCCTGGATAGACAGTAAGACCAAAAGGTTGGCACTTCTGCTCCACCCAGCAGAAAGGCTTGTCAGTCTGTTACAGAGGTCACAGCCCTGAAAGCTCTGGGGAATAGAGTTTTATTCTGAAATACACAGGGCTGCCATAGATGGAACTGACTCAATGGCATCTGGTTTGGTGTCAGTTTTATCCATCTCTCCGTGCACCAGACTAAGTTTGGTTATATTGTAGAATTCAGTTGCAGACATGCTACCTTTAATCCCCGTACTGGTGCTTATCTTTCACTACAATGTTTGTTTAGAGTTTGCTTTCTTTCTTTCCTTTTAAAAAAAATTTATATGCTGTGAGATGCAAAAATTTTAAATGTGAATTTTTTGGTGAATTTTGCCACATGCATACATCTCTATAATACAAACTTCTTTCTGTTACTGGGGGCACAGAGGCCCATTTCTGCAGTCACATGCCAGTTTGATTGAGATGCATTGTAATATCCAAAGCACTTTAATTTCAGATCTGAGAGACAGTGACACAACCTTCATAATACTTCCTGCCTCTCGTCTCTTGGTGGATTTGGGAATATACCTGAGTCAGTTACTCATTTACTTAATATAATATTACCTCTAATTCAAAGTTACAGAGCTCTTAACATTTCAAAGGAGTGATTTACATACTTTTGAAAGGCAAATGCTAACTCAGGAAAATGCATTTTAATTCCGGGGGGCAAGATACTCTTCTCCAACACCACAGCTCAAAGGCATCAGTTCTCCTATCATCCCTAGTCATTGTCCAGCTCTCTGATGCATAGCAAGTGATTGCAAGGAACATGGCCTGTATCAGGTGCACCTTAGTTTCCAGACTGACATCATTGCTGTTCAGTACTTTGGAGAGGTCCGTAACAGCAGACTTTCCCATCACAATACATCTTTTAATTTCCTGGCTGCTGGTGCCAAGAGTGTTGATTGTGGAGCCAAGCAAACTAAAGCTGTTAACAATCTCAGTCTCTTCACCATCTCTCATGATCAGCCCAGTGGGAAGAATCTTTCTTTTCTTGATATTGAGCCTCAATCTATATTGAAGGCTGCAGTCCTTGACCTTCTACAGCAAGCGCTTCAGGTCCTTCTCAGTTTCAGCAAGCAGGGTTCTGTCATCTGCATAATGCAGATTGTTAATGAATCTTCCAATCTTGATGCCACATCATGATAGATGGAGAGAAGGTTGAAATTGTCAACAGCTTCATCTTACTTGGATCCTCAATCAGTACACTTACTTGGTACCATCAGTCAGGAGATCAAGGGATGTATTACACTGGGAAAGTCTGCAGTTATAGGGACCACTCCACATTGCTGAGGAGCAGTGATGTTCATTTGAGGACTCGGGTGCACTAATTCGGGCCAAGGTCTTTTCAATCACTTGTTATGCTGTTGGGAACTGGATAGTGAATAAGGATGACAAAAGAACGATTGATGCCTTTGAGTTGTGGTGTTGGAAGAGCATACTGAATACCCCACGGAGTGCCAAAAGAACAAACAAATGTGTCTTGGAGAAAGTACGGCCAGAGTGCTTCTTGGAGGCAAGGATGGTGAGTGAGGCCTCATCTTTCATACTTTGGACATGTTGCTAGGAAAGGCTGTTCAATGGAGAAGGACATCATGTTTGGAAAAGTAGGGGGACGGGGAAGCAGAGGAAGACCTTACACGAGATGGAATGACAGAGTGACTGCGGCCCTGGGCTCGAGGGCATCAGAGATTGAGGCTGGCGCAGGATAGGATTTGGTTCTGTTGTCCGTACTTGACTAGACTGGACCTCACAACAACAGCAACTAAGAATCTAAGATCATTTCCCGTAGGTGAATATCAGTGCCTTTTATAATGGATTCAATAACTTTATTTTTACTGAATCTGTACTTCCACATATAAAATCACTTTATGTGTTATTTTTGCAGCTTGCCTTTTTCATGCCCTTGTAAATAATCGCCATCTTTATGTATCAGCATGTATAGATTTGTTCTATTTCATTGGCTTTGTTGTACTCCATTGCATAGAACCACTTTATTCATCTCTTCTCAGCTGATGATCATTTAGATTGCCGCCACCTTTATGTTTTTATTTTAAATAGTGTTGTAAAAAAATTCATGTGTGTCAGCATATTTGCAGAAATTGCTAGGTCAAATATGAATTCTAATAGCCACTGCCAGTCTGTGCTTCAAATCCCTTTTAACTCATTTATATCTTCACTAGTGTGAATGAGAATTCTTTCTCTATACATCACTAGCCCTGAATATCATCATTTCTTTTTTCTAGTCTCTGAGTCTGATCTATGAAATTCTATCTTGTTTTTTTAAAAAGTTTATTTAACTTTGACTGCTATTGAGATGAATGATATTTTTCTTTTATTGCTTTTGGGGACTTTGTAAATTTTTATTTCTTTTGCTAGTTTTTCTGTTGTTGGATTTATTTTTCTTTTCTGTTTCTAGGAACATTTTCTAATATAATATTGTGTAGAGGTCCTTTGACAGTCTTGTTTGGACAGATTCTGTAAAAGGCCTTCACTTGTCCTTTACCTTTGTGTTTGTATGTCATAAAGGCAAGCCTTCAGCCCTTTCCTTTATAATTTTTTGTTTTGATATCATACCAGAAAGGTTTTTAATAAAGCCAAAACGAAAAACTTGTGAAAAGTGATAAAACTGACAAATTTCACTTAAAAAGTAGTGTCAGTCCTGCTGAAAGATTCCATCAAGACGTCACCAACTTGTAAAGTTGTGCATTAAGTATATGGTGGTGCTTTTAAGTCGACTGCTTTGTAAAACCTAGCTTTAATAATTTGCAGTTTAGTCTTCACAGAAGTGTCCCCCTCTCTACGTACAGGCCTTGAGCTAGACCAGGGGTCCTAGTCTTTCTGTGTTCACAGTGCTCTAAGTGTCTTAGTAATCCCCCCTCAGTAATTCCCCCCCACACACCCGACACTGTCCTGAGGCAACAAAACAAATAAAAACAACATCCTTGGCACTTGAAGAGGATGCAGGTTAAGAGCACCAACCTCTAGCACAGCTGAAAAGCTGTGCATAATTTACAATTGACTCTTAAAAAGCCCAAGTTTAGACTCTGCAGGTCCAGTAAATTACCCATGAGGAGGTAATTGGTATCCCAGAGGAAGATTAAGCAGAGTCTCCAAACACTTGAGATGCCTGCATGCCATAGCAACAAGGGGAGGGAGGTGGGTGGAATCTGCCTGTAGCGGAACCCCAGCCGGTGTTCAAGGGTCAACTCTCCTGAATAGTTCTGTGTATTAAGTACTTGGAGTCAAGCGCTTTAATAAGTGTTTTCATTCTAAAAGCTTCTTTGTTACTGTCAGGTCGGCTCCAACTCTGGACGACCTCGTGGTCTGTTTGTGACCCCGGTATATCCTGAGTGACTTCCAGGGTAGAGAACTGGACCTCCTCTTCCAGTACCATGCCAGATGATATTCTGCTGTGATCCATAGGATTTTTATTGACTGAGAAGTTGATCACTCATCTGTCTTTGTCTAGAAACACGGTGAAACCTGTCTACCGTCGATGATACTGCTAGTGTGAGATACCGGTGGCAAACCTTACAGCAACACAGCAGCTACCACAGTACATCAGACTGACAGACAAGCATCTGACTAAAACATTATTAATCTACAAAACATTATGTTGTTGCCATAGAATCAGAACCAACTCATAATTGCCCCTTCAGCGGGTTTTCAGAGGCAGTAAATTGCATGAGAGGAGATTACCCATCTATCTCATCTCCCTCAGAGTAGTTGGTGGATTCGAAATGCCTGCGTTTGGATTGGAAGTGAAACGAACTCTTTACCCACTAGGCCACTAGAGCTCCCTATATGAAAAAGTAAT